GGAAACAAAGGACAGGGCTATGGCTCTGTGGTAGAGGGCTTGACTGCAGGCATGAGGCCCTGAGTTCAATCCCCAGCACTAAAAAAAAAAAAAAAAAAAAAGAGGAAACAGTTTCCCACTACTTAAAGAGGGAAATGAGGCTGCCCAATGAGTTTAAATCTTTCAGTGTTCATCGGGGGCAAAACAGAAGAATACACACCAAATATTTCCAAAAACATAAAGCTCAACAACATCCCAAGCTATGCTTTACCAATTTCTCTGCCTTGCCTTGTAGGCAGATATGCAGGGCCATGTGCATGTGTGATCAAACTATGAAGAAAATCCTGAAATTGATAAAATTCAGGGCAAAGCCACGGGGGCTCAGCCAGGCAGGTGGGGGCAGGGAGGGGGGAGAGCGCCGTGATGGTCATGTTTTAATTCTTGGCCTAGGTCTGGGTTTTTTTTTTTTAATATTTATTTTTTAGTTTTAGGTGGACACAATATCTTTATTTTACATTTATGTGGTGCTGAGGATTGAACCCAGGGCCTCATGCATGCTAGGCGAGCGCTCTACCACTGAGCCACAACCCCAGCCCCTGGGTTGCTTAGGGTTTGCTAAATTACTGAGGCTGGCCTTGAACTTGCAATCCTCCTGTCTCAGACTCCCAAGCTATTGGGATTATAGGCATGTGCCACCACTCCTGATGATATTATCATTCGTTCTACCTTACCCATAAATCTTTTTCCCCCTTTTATTTAAATTAAATTATATATTTATTCTAAATTGTAATACACGATGGCATAATGCAATTTATTTCATATTACACATATAGAGCACAATTTTTCGAGTCACTGATTGTACACAAAGTATTTTCACACCATTTGTGTCTTCATACGTGTACTTAGGGTAATGATGTCTAACTCATTCCACCATCATTCCTACCCCCTGTCCCTCTCCCTTCCCCTTCATTCCTTTTGCCCTATCTTAAGTTCCTCCATTCCTCCCATGCTCCCCAACATCCCCATTATGGATCAGCATCCTCATATCAAAGAAAACACTCAGCCTTTGGTTCTTTGGGATTGGCTAACTTCACTTAGCATGATATTCTTCAACTCCATCCATTTACCTGCAAATGCCGTGATTTTATTCTCTTTTATTGCTGAGTAATATTCCACTGTGTATATATACTACATTTTCTTTATCCATCTACTTAAGGGCATCTAGGTTGTTTCCACAATTTGTAAATTGTGCTGCTATAAAACATTGATATGGCTGTTTTTAAGTCCTTTGGGTATAAACCGAGGAGTGGGATAGCTGGGTCAAATAGTGGTTCCATTCTCAGTTTTCCAAGAAATCTCCATACTTCTTTTCATATTGGCTGCACCAATTTGCAGTTCCACCAGCAATGTATGACTGTGTCTTTTCCCCCACATCCTCACCAACACTTATTGTTGTTTGTATTCTTGATTACTGCCATTCTGACTGGAGTGAGATGAAATCTTACAGTAGTTTTGATTTTCATTTCTCTTTCATTTCTAGAGATGTTGAGCATTTTTTCAACATTTGTATATCCTCTTCTGAGATTTCTGAACAGTGTCTGTTCAGTTCCTTGGCCCATTTATTGATTGGCCCATTTTTTGGTGTTAAGGTTTTTGAGTGCTTTAAATATCCTAGAGATTAGTGCTCTATCTGATGAGTGAGGGGTTAAAATTTGCTCCCATTCTGTAGGCTCCCTATTCACCTCACTGATTGTTTCTTTTGCTAAGAAGCTTTTTAGTTTGAATCCATCCCATTTATTGATTCTTGGTTTTAATTCTTATGCTTTAGGAGTCATATTAAGGAAGTTGGGTCTCAATCCCACATGATTTGGGCCTACTTTTTCTTCCATTAAGTACAAGATCTCTGGTTTAATTCCTAGGTCCTTGATCCACTTTGAGTTGAGTTTTGTCCATGGTGAGAGATAGGAGTTTAATTTCATTTTGTTACATGTGGATTTCTAGTTTTCCCAGCACCATTTGTTGAAGAGGCTATCTTTTCTCCAATGTACATTTTTAGAGCCATTGTCTAATATAAGATAACTGTAGTTATGTAGGTTAGTCTCTGTATCCTCTATTCTGTACCATTGGTCTACAGGGCTATTTTGGTGCCCATACCATGTTGTTTTTGTTACTATTGCTCTGTAGTATAGTTTAAAGTCTGGAATAGTAATGCCACCAACTTCACTCTTCTGGCTAAGGATTGCTTTGGCTATTTTGGGTCTCTTAATTTTCTAGATGAAAACTAGGGATTATCAGGAATATACCTCAACATTGTAAAAGCCCCGGGTCAACATTATTCTAAATGGAGAAAAATTGAAAGCATTCCCTTTAAAAACTGGAACAAGACAGTGATACCCTCTTGTACCACTTCTATTTAACACAGTTCTTAAAATTATAGCCAGAAAAATCAGACAGATGAAAGAAATTAAAAGGATATGGATAGGAAAAGAAGAACTCAAATTATCACTATTTGCAGATGATATGATTTTATACCTAGAAGACACAAAAAACATTCCACCAGAAATCTCTTAGAACTAATAAATGAATTCAGCAAAGTAGCTGGATATAAAATCAACATCCATAAATCAAAGACATTTCTGTACATTAGTGAAAAATCCTCTGAAAGAGAAACTAGGAAAACCACCCCATTTACAATAGCCTCAAAAAAATAAAATACTTGGGAATAAACTTAATGAAGGGATGGGACACAGCTCAGTTGGTAGAGTGCTTGTCTTGCATGCACAAGGCCTTGAGTTCAATCCCCAGCACCAACAAAAAAAAAAAGAGAAAAAATTAAACTTAACCAAAGAGGTGAAAGACCTCTACAATGAAAACTACAGCATGCTAAAAAAAGAAATTAAAGAAAAACTTAGAAGATGGCAAAATCTACCTTGTTCTTGGATAAACAGAATTAATATCGTCCAAATGGCCATACTACCAAAAGCACTATACAGATTCAATGCAATCCCAATCAAAATCCCAATGACATTCCTGATAGAAACAGAAAAAGCAATCATGAGTCCCATAAATCTTTTTAAGTTTTAAATATTCAATTTAATTAATTTTTAATTTGAGAGGGGGGGAGGGAGGAAAGAGACCTTTTGCTAGAGGGAGATTTGAAGATGAAAGGAGAGTTTTTGATTTTACTTTTTAAAAAATTTTTTTTTAGTTGTAGATGGACACAAATTTTTTAAAATTTATTTTTATGTGCTGCTGAGGATGGAACCCAATGCCTCACACATGCTAGGTGAGTGCTCTACCACTAAGCCACAATCTCAGCTCTGGTTTTGCTTTTTAAGATGGGAAAGATTGAACAACAAGTGTTGGCGAGGATGTGGGGGAAAAAGGCACATTCATACATTGCTGGTGGGACTGCAAATTAGTACCACCAATATGGAAAACAGTATGGAGATTCCTTGGAAATCTGGGAATGGAACCACCATTTGACCCAGCTATTCCTCTCCTAAGACTAAACCCAAAGGACTTAAAAACAGCATATTGCAGGGACCCAGCCACATCAATGTTTATAGCAGCACAAGTCACAATAGCTAAACTGTGGAGCCAACCTAGATGTCCTTCAGTGGATGAATGGATTAAAAAATGTGGCATATATACACAATGGAATTTTACTCAGCATTAAAAAAAAAATCATGGCATTTGCAGGTAAATGGATGGCATTGGAGAAGTGAAGTTAGCCAGTCGCAAAAAAAAAAAAAACAAATGCTGAATGTTTTCTCTTATATAAGGAGGTTGACTCATAGTGGGGTAGGGAGGGGAAGCATGGGAGGAATAGATTAATTCTAGATAGGGAAGAGGGGTGGCAGGAAAGGGAGGGGGCAGAGGATTAGCAAGGGTGGTGGAATGTGATGGACATCATTATCCAAAGTACATGTATGAAGACACGAATTGGGTGTCAACATACTTTGTGTACAGAGATATGAAAAATTGTGGTATATGTCTATTAAGAATTGTAATGCAAAAAAATTTTAAATAAGTATATATTTATATATTAAAAAAAAAAAAAGATGGGATGGATTAGAGTTCATCGCCTTGGCTTCTACCACCGTGAGTCCTTCAGGATGAGGCTGGTCACCATAAAGAACAAACCAGCTTAGTCTCCTGGGATTTCCAGCCCCACACTGGGTTCCAGGGTTGGAGGTTGAGTTCAACTGCCAATGGCCAGTGTTTAATCACAACCCCATAATGAACCTTCAGCAAAACTCCTAACCGAGAGCTTCCAGGATGCTGAATTTATGGTGGTGCTGGGGTGGAGATAGGGCTGCCCAGAGAGGACAAGGAGCTCCTCCCCACGCCCCCATCCTGCCTTATTTCTCTCATTTGGCTTTTCCAGAGTTATGCATTTTACAATAATGCTATTCTCAAGTTCTGCAAGTCATTTTAGCAAATTTTCAAGGATGAAAAGGGGATTGTACGAAATTCCAAATTCACAGCCAAATTGCTGATCAGAAGTCAGACTTATGTGAATGGGCTGAACCCTTCATTTGTGGAGTCTGTGCTAATAATTTTGCATTAGTCAGAGTTTAATGGAATTGTGGGATACCCAGGTGGTGAGTGGAGAATTGGCTGGAGTCAAAGAATCTCAGGGGGCATTCTGCTATTTTGAGGTTCAGAGATACCACTAGTGCTTCTGTATGGTTTCATCCTGAGATTGGAAGACTTTCATAACCTGCTGGGAACATGACCACTTCTGGGTTACGAACTCAGATCCAAACAAACTTCTGGAATGTGACCATTTATCTCATGCCAATGAAAGGACCCGGCAACCATGAGCCTCCCCTGTACACTATCTCACTACCTGCCCCTGGGCTCACCTGGCTATCTCTTTTTAAATATTTCTTTTAGTTGTAGTTGGACACAATACCTTTATTTATTTATTTGTGCATGGTGCTGAGGATCGAACCCAGAGCCTTGTGCATGCTCGGCAAGCGCTCTACCACTGAGCCACCACCCCAGCCCCTCACCTGGATTTTAAGCCTGAATTTCCGGATGCCAGAGAAAGCTTTAAGTGCATTCAGAGCTTGGATTTTGACACTGGTGTCCGTGTCTTCCAGCATGTCAGCCACCAACTTGATATCATCATTAGTACAAGCAGAGGCCTGGAGTGTGTGGGGAGAGACGGAAGAGGCAGGAGAAGCGGGTGTCCAGGGCCCACTGCCCACCCCCACCCCATGTCACCAAAGACCACCCTCCCAGCACACCCCTCCCACAATCATGTAGATGCTGGTCCCAAGAGGCCCTCTGGCAGGTCAAAGGGCAAGGAGCGCATAACCCTAGCAGTCAGGTTGCGTAGGAGGGACCTCCTGCCTCCCTTTCCTCACCTCGGCCTCCAGCAAGTACACACAGCGAGTGATGCTGTGCAGGATCATGCTCCTGGTGTACTCATCGTGCTTGCACTCCAGAGAGTTGAGGAGTCTCCGGAGCTCACCCGAGTCCCGCCCATGGCGCTCTCGCTCGATGGCCAGGCCTAGACAGCCACCCAGCCCGGTTTAGGATGTGGACTCGGTAGTAATGAAAGAATGGGGACACAGAGGAGAAGGACCTGGGGACAAAGCTGCCTTGCTTCTTTAGAAGAGCCTTCTTTCTATATGCAGGACTACCATGTACAGCTGAACAGGGAGTGTACTGCACAAGGGCACCCTACCTGATGCTGTACTGTCTATGTCATTATCTCCCATATTTGTGTATTTACTACCTAATTTTTTGGCATGTGGCAGTAACAAGTAATGATTCATTGTAATCAACATATGGCAATGATATTCCAGCAGGTGGCAATTAAGGGATCTCACAGAAAGTGCCTCTTTTCTGACTTTGCACAAAAGTGCCATAGAGGCTGGTGGAAACTCTGGGCATGGAGGTGCCCCGATTTTCCCTTTCCTTGAAGCCTCAAGTTCCTAGACAAGAAAGGAATGGGGGGAGCTGCTGATGTCAAGTTTCCAAGAAGTGTACGCCTTTGGAAGCCAAAGTGAATGTAGGATTTGGAGACCTGCCAGATTAGTCCTGGGGACACACCTTGGTGAGATCTGCTACCCAGAGTCCCCAAACTAACATCTCTAGCAGGGCCTTGCCTAGGGTGCTATGGGGCTCCTGAGAAAGATGAAGAGGAGAAAGAGGAAGGAGAGAGGAACTTGAAGGAGTCACCTTTGGGCCTTTCTACAGGGGAGGCCTCAGAAGCAGGTGCCTCCTGGGGCGGAGCCCTCTCCCCAGGGACTGGACACTCACGGGCGATGCAGATGGGCGAATTGGAGCAGAGAGGTGGCTGGCATTTTAGGCCAGCCCTGATGGCCTTGTAGAGCAGGTAGATGGCTGTGGCACCTGTGGCCAGGCCCACTATACTTTTGCGGATGTCCAGTTGCCCCAGGTACTCGGGGATGCTCTTGCCCATATCTTTAGCGCTGCCTTGTACCCGGGTGGGAGCTATGCCCAAGGCACCTGGGAAAGGCCTTCCGGAACCAGAACTCTGGAAGGGCCAGGAACCAGGGTACCAGAATTGAAACCTAGGCAACAAAGGTAAATAGGAAGATGATGGGATGGAGGGTCTGAGTTGGGAAGTGGCGTGACCAGGGGTGCTTGAAAGGAGAGAGAAGGTTCAGCTTTCAAGGCTGCAGAGAAGAAGCTGGAGACTCTGGGGCCAGTGGCGGGGTAGCTCAGTGGTAGAGCACTAAAGCTAGCACAGGTCAGGCCCTGGGTTCCATGCCCAGCATTGGAAAGGGAGGGAGGGAGAAAGAGAGGAGAAAGTAAAGGAAATTTTAAAAGGAAAGGAAAGGAAGAAAAAAGAAAGAAAAAGAAAAGCAAGGAGGCAGGGGCAGATGGGCATCTCCTGGTCTTGAGGGGAGCCAGGTTGGAGGGGCCCGGCAGGTCGCTCCAGGGGCTGCCCTTTCCTCCACTAGAGGGCAGCAGACACCCATTTCTGGCTGGGGCCTTTGGGCATTTCTGGGAGTCTGGGGTGTGCCCATTGACCCCCTTCTTTTGCTTCCCTCCTGTCTTTGATCGTTCTAAGGTAGATCTACCCCTGGACCTTGGTGTGTTTCTTCAGACAGAGGTTCCTCAACCCTGGAAGGTGAAATGAAGTGGACACCTTATCAAGTTTTGCAGCCTTGGGTACAGCCGTCATTTTCCAGCTTCTGCACGTGGACCTGGAGTGTGAGGAAAGCTTGTGAGGACAACCGTCTTTGCATCCCAGCACCCAGCATAGATTTCTGCACTTCACAGGTACCTGTCATGCCTCATCACTCTTTGAAAGTTTGGGGACAGAATAATGACAGAGAGTCTGGAAAATGTGGTTCTAGGCCCATCTAACTTGAGTGACCTTGGAGGGGGAAGGAGCCATCCTTTCCTGGATCTGTTTCTGCACTTAAAACCCAAGGGGATCCCAGATCTTCCATTCTAAAACTCCAGGATTACAATGCGAGCAGATCTGTGCCTTTCAGCCATGAAACGGTGGTGGTGTGACCCCCGCTCCAGCCTCCCCACATAGGGGATGAGGCTTGAGACCTGTAGACAGAAAATTCTACCACCCCAGAGGATGGGAGCCATCTTTACAGGCTTTGATCTCTACCACTAGATGGGCCATGTACAAACAAATCCTTCTCTTCATCAGTCTCCCTACACCTTCTGGCCTCTCTCTGGTACAGAACAGGGAGATGACAAGCTCCCAGTTAGGGTCAGACCCAAAGCCAGTGTTGAGCATGGTTGTACCACAACAGGGTTTTACCCACCTCATTCCAGGAGAACTGGGGCAGAAGGCCCTGGGCTGCAGCTGGATGGGAGGCGGGAGTGGGAAAAAGCATTCTGAAGGATGCTGCAGCCAGCCAGGCGTGGCCACTCAGAACCTCTGCCCATCACACCCCAGGCTGCAGGCAAGAAACAGGCCACACTCCTAGACAGTCATCTCTTCCTATCCTCTCTTTTATCCCCACCCTTCCTCTAGGATCATTCCTAGCACTTCGCCCCAAGGTGGGTGACTACATGGACAGTCTGCAATGAGGGGTGGGTGAGCACAGGCTCACTGTTAGGGAACTACCCATCACACCCCATAATCTGCAGGCAGGAAACAGCTGTCTGATAGGCAACTGTCATTTCTGGTTCCAAGGCTCCCTTAGTGGATCTGAACAGATCCTTCAGAACAAGGTCCCTGCTCTGCTCACAGTTGCTGTCCCCTCAGTGCTATGGAGCTGATTCTGCAGCTCACACATCGGAAGCAGATTTGTCATCTGTTCTTTAAAGACCTCCCAAAAGGGTTCTTTCTTGGCTGTAACCTGATTCCCTCCTGCCATACTAAAGACCATTTCTTCTGGTTCTGCCCTCAAATGATTCAGAGGGAGCAGAGAGGCAGAGTCATACCCGGGGTGACATTTTCACTAGTCCCCAGTACAATGAAAAAAATAAAGACAGAGGAGCATCTATTAGTCAGTGTAAAGTCAATGACTCCTTTCTTGGGAATGAATGACTGGTAGATTTTTGTTATTGTTTTTTTTTTTTTTTTTTTTTTCAGGGATGGGGTTTTGCTATATGGCCTAGGCTGGTCTCAACTAACCTCAAGACACCCTCCTGCCTCAAATCTCCTGAGTAGCTGTGACCATGGGTGCCCGGAAAGAGTGTCTGGTTTTGATTTTTTAGGGATAATTCATACATATTTTCTTTAATGAAATGGAGATAATAGATGGTAGATGGTTTTTAAATTTTTTAAAAAATTATTATTATTATTTTTAGTTGTTGAGGGACCTTTGTTTTATTTTATTTTATATGCAGTGCTGGGAATCAAACTCTTTTCACAAATGCTAGGCAAGTGCTCTACCACTAAGCCACAATCCCAGCCCCCTTTTTAAAATTATTTTTTTATATATTTTTTTTTTTTTGTGTGTGTGTGTGTGTGTGTGGTACTGGGGGTTCAACCACTGAGCCACATCCCCAACCCTTTTTTATATTTTATGTAGAAACAGGGTCTCGTTAAATGGTTGAGTCTGGCTTTGAACTTGAGATTCTCCTACCTCAGCCTCCTGAGTTGCTGGGATCAAAAGCGTGTGCCACTGCACCAGGCGGTAGGTGTGTTTTAAATGTTCTTAGGAAATGTATTAAAAGCTGTGAGTCCTTCTGGGAACTTGGCTTGGTTTATTTTCTTGTTTTGTTTTTCCATCACATCTAGAATGTCACATCTGGATTAGGTGGCCAGAAAGAAGTCGAAGAGTCAATATACACAGAGGCAGACATGAGCTCCTTACCTGCCTTCACCAAGAAAAAGACACAGGCTGCCCTGCCTTGGCTTGCACCTCTGTGCCATTGCTACCAGCTCTTCACCTCCAGGGCCGATGATGTTCCCACGTGTTCAGTGCAGCTTCATGTAGGGATGGGAATGGGCTGTAGCCAGACTGCCATGGCTCCAAACCAATGCAGCCACAGAGGTAGCTCTGGGATCTTTGTGCCTCATTTTCCTGGCCTGTAAAACGGGACTAATCTGACCTACTTCATGGACTTGTTTGTGAGGATTAAGTAAAGTACTTGGAACACTGCCCTGCACACAGAGTTCAACCAATGTTGACTATAATAATTATGAGGTTTCACCTGGACAAAATGTTTGAGTGTGGTAAGGCGCACAGCAAGCCTAATGGCGTCCCGCCCTGAAAAAGTCCACTACTCGCCCCTTCAGCCTCTGCCACTCGCCCTGGTCGCAGTGGTCTTCTTAAGGCTGATCAATCTCAACTCATGAAAATTATTTAACTACCTTGAGCGACTTCGGAGTCCTCTTTGAAGACCACAAATCCCCAATTTAGAAGCGGTAGCCCCCAGTCCATTCCCCTAACCACTTTGTTCCTAAGCCATCCACCCCTAAGGCCACTGCCTCATGCTCTTCACGATGCTCTTGCAATCCTCCTAAACTATAATGCTCCAGGTGCTATTGGGGGGCCTATTAGGAAAGTCAGTCCTAGGTCATTACCGAGGATGACCTTTTTACCTTGTGGAGACCCAGCACTTGTGCACTTAAAAGACAAGAGAAGATTGGTCTGCTCCACACTCCAAGAAAAAACCCTTTGGAGTCCGATTGCCATGGGTTCAAATCCCAGCTGTGTGGGATTTGGACGTATCCCATCATCTGAGTCTTAGTTTCCTCCTCTAGAGGAATTTACTACCTGGAAGTGCTGCCGTCGGGACCGACCGAGAGAACGTGCGGCTCCTCTCGGTGCACAGGCGACGCTCAATACGCCCAGCTTCCTGGCACAAGGTTGGGGGCGCCCGTGCCCTTCCTGGATGCCACTCTCCGAGACCATCCCCTCCCCAGCGAAAGCTTACCCCGGCCCAGGAACTAGAGTCGTGGAACTCCGGCAAAGGCATGGAGACCCCGGAGAAATCGGCAAAAGCAGCGGGTGGGGGCGGCGCCCCCGGAGGAGGAGGACCGGGTGGGGGCGGAGGCCGCGCCTCCTCCACCCGGGCCTCCCCCCCACCTCGCTCTCCCTCCCCCGACTCCCTCCTCCCCCGAGCGCATCCGGCAGCGGGCACAGGATGTTCTTTCGCTCCCGTCCTCCCCCCTCCCCGCCCCCGCTCTCACTTTCTCTCCGCTCCCCTCCTCCACTCCCGCCGCGCCCGGCGCCGGCACCTTGCTTAACTCCTTCTCTCCCGGGCTCTGGGGCGTCCGCGCGCCGGGTAGCAGTCCCACCTTCCCGCCCGCCCCATTGCAGGCCCAGCAACGCTGAGCTGAGCGCCTGGCCCCTCTTTCAGGCTCCTCTGGCCAGTCCTGGGTGAAAGGTGGAAAGGCCTCCAAGGACAGGGGCTGGCACTCCCTGGAATCCCCTGGAGCTCGCCAGGTTTAGGTGGGGTGCGGCCCCGAGCTAGCGGCGCGTCGGAAGGGACCGCGGAGTGGGAGTGGGCGTAGTCAGCTGAGGCCGGGCGCGGGCTGAGAGGGTCTAAGGACTCTAATAACCCCATCCTCCCCAAAGGAACCGCCAAGCAGCGACCGAGGGTGGCAGAAGAGGATGGAGAGAGGCCACGCCCCTCGAGTTACGTCACTGCTTCCTAGGCAACCGGGGCAGACTAGAGGAGGGCAGACCTCAGGGAATCCAGGTTTGGGACAGGGCGGGGTTGTGGGTAGAGGTGGGGGCGCGGCAGGGGCGGGCTTTTCAATCTTTGCAGCTTAGCTCGTTGTTGTCGGAGAAACTAAGTGAGGCACAGCTATGTTTCCCCCTCTTCTCTTTCGTTCAACAAACATGCTAGGTGCGATGCTTAAGCACTGGGATATTGCACTCCATCCGAAGCCTGCCCTCACCGATTATGGTGGCCGTGCATCCCAGGCTGTGTCCCTGGAACTAGTGTAATTATTAATAATGTCCCTTTTTACGTGTAAAGTATCCAGGAATGGGTAAGGGTTAAGGAAGACTTAGTCCCCTAATTAAGGGAAAGTTTCAACCATGCAGAGAAAGAAGGAAGACAAACTTTTGTATGCTCACCATTCAACAATCACTTTCCTGGCATGTTATAATCTCTGTGAGTTTTGTCCCTCATTCTACAGGGCAGGCATCCCTCGTGCCTTTTACAGATGAAGAAACTGACTCAGAGAGGTCTTACTCAAGGCCCAACAACTCTATGTGAACCTGAGTGCCCTACCTCCTGCTTCTTTCTTAAAATAAATAGATCATATACAATAAACAAAAAGATACTTATCCTTTTCATGAAGGAGTTTATAATATTTGGAGGAAAGGGCTGAAAATATTACAGGACAGAATTAAACAATAAAATATAGAAGACTGCTCATAAGGCTCAGAGGAAAGTTGAAGTTGATGACAAACCAATCAAAATGGTGTGGATACTATCAGAGACTTCCTGTGGGAGATGGATTTTGAGTTGCATCCATAGGTGGAATCACTAGAGGTGTGTATGAGATGTAGTTCCAAGAAACAGAAAGACTATGAGAATCAGAGCAGGGATCCAGAGTGAAGTGGGCTAGAATCTCTCAATGGCAAGATCTCTCTGTAAACTCCAAAGCCTTTGGTGTTTACTTCTGTGTTCTGCCTTCTGCTCTCTCTGTGGCCTTGTCTCTTATGGGAGCAGATACTCCCAGCTGGCAGCTGCGCCCATTCTACTTTAAACCCAAGGTCTCTACATTTGGTATTTGGCACGAATTCCCTGATGTGACTTTGGATATCAGCTTCTCCCTTTCAGATCCCCCTCTGAAGATTTGGGGGAAATGAACCTGAGTTTGCCTCAGGAAGCCAATAAGCTTGCTGAGAATGGGGAGATGGAGTCAGGAGAGAGAGGTAGAGGGATGAGAAGGTGGTACGAATAAATGAATTGGACAATTGAAAAATATTTGCTGCCCTCTCACTGTGCAGCAGGCACTGTACTAGGTAAATTCCACTTCAGTGATCTGGAAAGGCCATGAATGAATCTGAACACATACAGATCACATAGCAGCTGGCACACCCATTATGCTTGGCTGAGATGTCTATGCTGATAACAGAAACGACAAATGGTGTTTGAGAAAGATTATTCCAGCAGGGTGTGTAGGAATAAGAAACAACCTGGATCAGAAAGACTGCAGCACTTTGGATCAAAGGTGATATCTACAGGGCTGGAGAGGAAGGAGTGAATGAGAAAGGTAATGACTAAACGATGCATTTTAAAATAACAGCAATAAAAAGAAGAAAGCAGAATCTGGTAACAGATCAGCCATAGGATAGTGAAGGAGAGAAAGCAGTTAAACATCAACCCACCTTCACAATGATTTGGGGGGACTAGGAGTGTCACAAGGGACAATGGGAGGAGTTGGTGCAATGGGCATGAGTGATTTTAGTCACTTCTAGGCCATATTAAGGCAATTGACCTGTATATGACTGGATTTGGAGATGGGAAAATCCAGAAGGGGAGTGGGACTGGGGCAGTGTCCCAGTCCTGGCTTCAGAGCAATCACTGACCTGGGATGCCATGGACAGATTCATGCATCGAGTTGCATCAAGTTGAAGTTTGGAATAGATGACAGCAAAGCTGCCTCCCTTCTAGGGGGGTTGGTGAGTGCTGGCTGGGTGACAGCATGTGTGGGAAGTGTGTTGTATGTGTTGGAAGGTGGTCCATATGGCCTGGGACCATGTTGGCATCCATCTGTTAATTTTTGGCTAAAGAACTAGCCAGTGATTCCATCAGATGGGCCTGGGGGCACAAGGCCCAGGTGAGGCACTTCGGCAGCTTAGGGTCCCTCCCCTAACCCCACCCTCAAAGGCCCTGGAGCCCAGGCCTGTACTGCCTGCCAAGGTCTTTCCTGGAACCCAGCAGAGGACAGAGCCCCTCCCTGCCTGCCCTGGCACTCTCCAGGCACAGGGTGTCCCTCTAGGCACCTTACAGACACCCCAGGAGGCTGGAGCTGAGACAGCCCCCCTTTCCAAGAGCCTTTGCCCTGGGATGCTGCCATTCTCCCAATGTCCCCACCAGGCCGGCACAGGGGAAGAAGGAAGAATTTTTTGGCTTCCTGGGTCTTTGCTGTGGCTTCAGATGGGAGGGTGGGGATGGCAGAAAAGCAGAGTCACAGGCTTCAGAGCATCACACCACCTGCTTCTCCCTCCCTCCCAGGAGGAAACCTTCAGGGGCCTAGTGGTTTTGAGGGGAGGGGACAGGAAGAGACTCTGAACTCTGGGTCAACTGAGGACAAAGAGCGCTTGCCCTGTATCTTATTTCTTCTAGGATTCTCTTCCTCTGCTTCCTACTCACCATCACCCCAGAACAAACTCATATCTCTGTCTACAACTAAGGGAAACGGGACACGTACCCAACGGGACGTTTATCAGCCGCTGTGTGCCGAGCCACACCTGTCGGATGCGGAGAGGAGAGCGCCCCTCCCAGGTGGATAGACCCTGCGGTGCTCGGGCGGGGCACTGGGAGACGCTGTCCTGGCGGGGCGAGAAGGCAGAGGGCAGCGCAAACGGGCCACGTGGAGGCCGGCCGCGGGGGGCTGGGGCGCGAGGCGGGGAGCGGGGGGTGCGCTCGCCACTCCCGCTCGCGGGAGCCGCCGGGTGTCGCGGCCGCTGACCGCAGGCTGCAGGAGCGGTTGATCTGGTGAGCGAGCACACCCACTTACCCAGCTGCTGAGTCAGGCTGTTCTCGCTCGCGCTCGCCCGCCCGCCCGCCGGCTCGGGACATTGTGTTCTAGCCCCGGCGCGCTGGCAGCGGGCCCAGGCGCTCACACCAGCCTCCTCGCCTTGTTTGTGCTCGCGGCTTACGCTCGGCGCAGTCCCGCCGCGGTCACAGCCTCCCGGCCGCGGCGGCCCTGGGAACGCGCGCTGGGGCCGGGGCTGGCGCGCAACCTCTGGGACGTGCGCCCCAGCCGGGTGGGCCCCGCAGCCCCGCAGCCCCGCGCACTCACCAGCCCCAGAGCACCCAGACATCTCCATGCCCAACTGCCCCACGGGTCGGATGCCTAGGCTTGTGAGGGCTCTGGGTTAGCATAGTCGGGGGGCAGGTGTTGGAAAGTCCACCGGAGGGGGGCCCCCCGGAGCTGCCGCCCGTGCCCCCCAAGCGCTCGGTCCAGCAGTCTGGAGGACAGCTGGGAGCACGCCAGCCCCAGGCTTGTCAGACCTGGGATGCAGTCACGTGACAACGGAAGCCTGTGTTGAGGGGGCCAATTCAAGCGATCCCCAGGAAGAGCCTCCCCTTCCCTCGCCCACACTTCCCTGATCCTCCACACAAGCCGGGAGCACGGAGAGTCCTGGGGTTCCCGGCACTGGCAAACCAAGCCTGGCCCTTTGGGACAGCTTGGGAACTCCCTGGCAGGGCTCTGGGAGTCGGGAGGGCCCAGACCCTATAGGGTGGGAATGGTGGAGGAATGGCAGGGACTAGCACGAAGACCCCAAACTGGCCCTGAAGCCTGACCCTTCCGTTTGTCCAGTTCCAAATCCTGGTTTATTCAGAACCGGGATTTCTCCTTACTCATGTTTCTGCAGAAAGACAACTGAGTGCTGACTGCTGGTCCAGAAGATTCCACTCCCTCCGAACTGACGAGGGGACAAAGGATTTATATGCTGCGCACCTACCTGAGGAAAGTTCTGTGTTGGGTCCTGCTAAGGATGTCATGAAAAGTTTGACACAATTCCTAAAATCCTTTATTCTTCCTCCTTCCTACATCCACATTTGCTGTGCCATGTCCCTGACAGGAGTGCTTGCCCTCCGTGTCTAGCCATCCCTTGGCTTCAGCTCATTGGGGCCACCAACCAAATCTGAATCCTCTCTCTTCCCCAAGCCCAACACACTTGGTTTGTACCTTTGCCGTGGCATGGCCAGCGGCCTGTCTCCTGTTCTAGTGATCTGTTTACTAATCCTGTTCTAACCAGATTAGAAAGTCCTTGAGGCAGAAACTAAATCTGGTTCTTTGAAGCCTCCCCCATCCCCCCAACTCATCCTTCGCAGGCCCTGCCTGGCACTGGGAGGTGGTGTTCAATAAATACTGGGTGTATTGAAATGATTTCCTGCCCTTGGGCAGTTTGTAGGCCAGTTGAAGAGACAAACACCCGGTGTGTGAGGTTAAATAATAACTGAAGCCAGCAGGTGGTAAGTACCAAATGTGCATAACAGATAAAGGGACTCAAAGCAAGAAGATAGTGATATGGGAGAAAGCTCCTAAGAGGTTCTAGATCTTGAGCCCTGAGAGAGAGAGAGAGAGAGAGAGAGAGAGAGAGAGAGAGAGAGAGTGTGTGTGTGTGTGTGTGTGTGTGTGTGTGTGTAGGAGGAGGAGAGGGGAGGGTGGAGTGGAGGTGACTCATTCTGGTTGACATCACCACAAAACAGTCTTCGTGCTAGGCACTTTACATGCATTATCTTTCAAATTTAAGGATGGGGGAGGGGTTTGGGAGGGTTGTAAGGGATAGTGCCCAATCCTGGCCTGCCCAGAGCCAGTGAAAGTGTAGGAGCAACCTTGAATGTGGGCTCCCCCCGCTCAGTCCCTGGGCACTGCCTGTTCTCTGGCCTGCCACTCCTACATACTACACCCAAGAGTACCCGGCACTGCCCAGTTCTGGATGGATGCACTCTGGTCCTGCCCTGGTGAACAAATGGCTGTGTGACCTTGGGTAAGGCACTTCCTCACCTGTCATCTGTCCCTCCTTTGCAGCCCTTAACAGGCTATGGCTTTGTGAGTCAGTGTCCAAGTGATGCTTGCCACCTCCCCTGATGTTACCTGGGCTGCTGTGGTGCCTGCCCTCCCCATGCACACATACTTTGCTCCCTCCCAGTCTGGAGCTGCTGAGAGGAACACTGGGTACAGAGTGTGAGAAGGGATGGTAGGTTTCCTGTGGTTGCAAAAGGAACAGCGGGACTTTCCCTGCTGTACCCAGGCTGTGGGAGAAGTGGGGGAGGAGGAGGAGGCAGGGCCAACCTCCAAGGAACTTCTACTCTCTTCCCTCCCCTCCTCAGTGCTCCCAGCTCTCAAAAAGGCTGGTACAGTTTGTTACACTGGGGCCGGAATGTACCGTGTGTTTCATATGGCCTCTGTCCAGTCCTACACTGGTCACTTTATGTTTACACTTCCTTCTCCAGCTGGGGCATCCTGCTGTCCGTCAACCCTGCTCTCATCTGCCCACCTCCCCTGAGTTACCCACCAAGGATCACGAAGTGAGTCTCCTGCCCCCACGGTTCATGGGGGGATGGGAAGTTAGGATGCAGAAAGAACCTTGCAGAGGGGAAGTCGGACTCCAGAAGGGCAAAGCCCCAGTTTCCTTTCTTTCTCCCACCACAGGAATCTCTCTGAGGTGGGTCCTCTTCTCCTTGCCACCCTGGTTTCCCTGGCACTTCAGCAACATTCCTGGGTCCAGCTGGACGTGTCTATATCAAACCTGGTAATCACTGAATCTCCCCCACCAGTCAAGAGAACACAGGGGCAGAGTGGAGGCCTGGCACTGGCCAGGAATATCCTACCCTCTTACCTCCAGGAGTCACATATTCCTAAAATAAATTGCAATTTTTTTCTTTTCTTCTCTTTTTTGAGACTGGAGTCAAGCCATGTTGCTCAGGCTGGTCCTCCACCTTCTGGACAATAGCAATCCTCCTGCTTTAGTCTTTCAAATAGCTGGGACACCACTACACCCTGTAACAAAATGGAATTTGTTACATCTTTCTCTTCCTTTTTTTTTTTTTTTTTGGTACTGGGGATTGAACCCAGAAGTGCATTACAATGGAACTACATCTTTGGCCCTTTTTGCCCCCCCCCCCTTTTTTTTTTTTTTTTTTTTTTTTGTGTGTGTGTGTGTGTGTGTTTGTGTGGTGGTAGGGATTGAACCCAGGGCCTTGTGAATTCAAGGCAAGCACTCTAGCGACTGAGCTATATCCCCAGCCCATCTTTAGCCCTTTTTAATTTTTATTTTGAGACAAGATCTCACTAAGTTGTTTAGGGCCTCCCTAATTTGTTGAGGCTGGCCTCAAACTTGTGATCCTCCACCCTCACCCTCCCAAGTCACTAGGATTACAGGTGTACACCATGGTACCTGGTGACACTTGGTGATTTCTTACTGATTTTCTGAGTTGTGATCAGTTTGTCTCTTCAAAGTGGCTTGAATATTCAGAGATAATGCATTTTTGATCTGGCCTTCCTCCTAGAGGAATAATGTGATATTATTCACCATTTGACAGCCTGAAACCTGGAGGCTAGCAAGACCCTGGAACACACTCTCAGCAATGGAGTTGGATGGCCAGGATTGCTCTTCATGGGCTCAGCTTGATTCTTGGCCAGCTGGCCTGCCTGCTGCCCCTCACCTTCTACCCAGAGGTAAATTGTCTGGTTGTATTGATTTAGCACTGAGATCCAAAAACCAGAAACTGAGACTGGATCCCAGGCTGTGAAGTCAGCTCTGTCGGTGGTAACGAGGCACACTTACATGACCTTTCTTGGGACTTAAAATGGCCGAGTTTGGGGATAATCAACCTGATGTCAATCCCTGCCATTTGTATTAGATTGTGTATTAGACTTTTCATTTCCCTGTCCTAACTCAGGGTGAGCCTAGTGTTCCTCTAAAGTAAGGGAACTAGCACCCCACTCTCTTGCTGGGAAAACTGGGTTCAGAGCAGCTAGGGTGCTCACCCAAGGGCAAGAAACTAGGTTTGTGATTGCTGTCTGGGTGTTTTGCTTCTGAGTTGGGAGAGGAAGAATTTCCCAAGATGTCTTGAAGCTGACTGGCCTTTGGCCCAGCTCTATCACCAAGGAGGGGACCATAGCACCCCACTGCCCATGCCACCATCCTCTACCCTGGGGCTGACACCAGACATCCTGTATTTGGTCAGCCTGTCCTGAGCACTGGCTTCCGGTCCTCAATTGCTTTCCTGGGCACACTGTGTCCTCTCTGAGCTGCTGCTTCTTCCTCTGAGTACTTCTTCCTCTTTTATTCTTCCTCCTTTCTCCGAATTCTGTTTACATGCCTCCATCCAACTGTGTTTACTTTTATTTTTGCTTTTTGTATTTCTAGTCTCCTGAGAAGTTTCCCAAGGTCTCTTCCTCTTCGTTCCTCTGCCACCATCTTGTTTCCCAGGAAATAATTTCCATTCGTACTCCACCCCAACACCACACCTTGCCCCAAACTATTGCTAGCATCAGATTGTTCAGGATCATGTATTCAGTAGGCACTTATGGAGTATCTACTGTGTGCCTCAGGAATTTTGTTCATGCCCTAGGACCCAAAGTTCAAAAGCTATGCCTGTGCATTTAATTAAGCACCTACTGTGTTTGTGCAGTGGGCATTGTGCTTTAACCTAAAGACTTAAAAACTGGTTGCTGCATTCAAGACCCCTGGACTACTTGGGAAAATGCACAAAAACAGATTTTGTAGGGTTGGGGTTGTGGCCCAATGGTAGTGCGCTTACCTAGCATGTGTGAGGCACTGGGTTTGATTCTCAGCACCATATATAAATTAATAAAATAAAGGTCCATTGACAACTAAAAATAAAAAAAATAATAATAATAAAAAACTTTTGATTTGGGGAATGTTTTGGGAAGTTGGGGACCAGTGTGAAAGGCTCCTGTGAGTAGAAGAGTCTTCTTCGTGTCTGAGGGGAGCTAGCCAGGCAGAGCAAGGGTGCACAGTGTTCCAGGTAGCAGGAACAGTGTGTATAAAGGCACACAGGCGTGAAGCAGCCCCATGTTCTCCGGCGGGCACTCAGAATTGTTTGGTCTGGCTGGACATGGAGTGCAGGTTGGGAGCCCAGGGAGATGAGGCCAGAGGCAGGCAGGCCCAGATGGTGCAGTACCTCGTGTTCCAGCAAAAGGATTGACCTTTATCCTGGAGCAGCCGGAAGCCCAGGCAGCCTCATGGCTCCCTGCAGCCGGGGAGCTCCAGGGCTGGGCGTGGGCCAGACCCAAAGTGTTCTCCGAGCCTCCATTAACGGCACATTTTATTGCCCTTTGGCTTTGAAAAGCCTGTGGGAGAGTCACTTAAATATACTGCTATTTCCAAAGCACAGTCATTCATTCATTCATAAATGTTTAGCAGGCTCTGATGCCTGCCAGGTGCTGCTCCGAGAACCAGGACCGGTCAGTAAGCCCCACAAAGTCCCATCTCTCAAGAAACTTGCATCCTCAGTAGCTGGGGGCAGGGGACAGGCCATAAATAAACAAGTGAAACAAATTATTAAGATAATTTCAGATCATGATAAATACAAAGGAGAAAAATCAAATAGTGATGCCCCCAGAGAAGCTAGGTCTCCTAGGTGGTAGAGAAGGTTGCCCTGAGGAAAGCCATGTTTGAGTTCAGACTTAGAGGACACAAAACAAGCCTTCCTGTGAACATCTGAAGGCGGAGGGTTCCAGGTACAGGAAAATCACTTGCAAGACATGTGCCCCAAGGCATGAAGGAGCTTGGGGGTTTTTCAGGTTTAGAAAAAATGGCTGGGTCAAATCTGTCAGTTCCCAGCAATGCTATGCAAGGATTATCAGATCCATTTTGGAGAGATGGAAACTGAGGCTCAAAATGGTAAAGTTCCTTGGCCCAAATCACAACTGATAGTACAAATTTTTACTCCAAAGCCACTGCTCTTTTTTTCCTACCAAATTTCGAGTTCAGCAACCTTGTGTCCCAAATTATCCAGGAAGTTCCAGTTTCTAAAATCCTTTCTCATTTTCCCCTGGACAGTCATCTTGGACATTCTCTCTGTTCCAAACCATGACCTTGAACCCTGTCTTTGTCATGCACTACCAATGCAAGCACAGACTACCACTTCACCCTTGTAAGCCTCAGTTTTCTCATCTGTAAATGGGGAAAGTAACAGTTTCCATATCATCTTCTGGCTGGGAGGTGAAAGGACATCATTGGTGTGAGGCCGAATGCTGAGAACACTGGTGCACCATCCAATTAAAAGTGCTTCTTGTGACTTTGGAAAATGGGAGGCCAACTGCAGAATGGTCCTGCCCTCAGGAAGCTGGGGACCCAAGACCTGGAGAGAGAGAGAAAGAACTATTGTGGGGCCTCTGAGTTGGAAGACCGGGGGAGAGTGGTGGAGGAGAGGGCAGCCACAATGGCCTCTTCCTTTCCCCTCACTCGCCTCTGCTGGGATCCCACACTGACACATCTTGTACTTCCCGTTTCCAGGGAAATTCCTCACCCGCTGGACCACACCCGCTCTTGAGGACCTCCCGAGCTCTCTGGGCAGAGCGGAAGCCAGACAGAGACCGGACTCCAAGGCGACAATCCCAGCCCTGTGTGTGCCAGGAGCCCCCAGGGGCAGGGGCCCATGCTGCAGGAGGTTAGCTGCCCCCCCCCCCAACACTCTGGAGCCTGGAGTAGGCTGCAGGGACAGAGCTCTTCTCAAACGAGGAGGAAGAGGAGGAGCCCCCGTGGAGTACGTGACTCCTGCTCCGCTGGCTGCACGCTCCAGTTACCAGGACAGAGACCCCTCCCCACGCGTCCCCAGCCTTCCCCTGCTTCCTGCTCTGGCTGCTGGGAGGCCCTGTCACCACACATGCGCGAGCACGCACTCCGACACACGGGCCCCTCCCAGGCACCCCTGAGAGGACCAGCTGCAGCTGGGGGGTGCACTGAGTGCTGCCAGGTCCTCAGATCCACAGCCTCCCCCCATCCTCGCCCCCTACTGCTGAGCTGCTTGGAGGTTTAAAGCAAAACATGACTGTCTTTCCTGCTGCTCAGTGGCAGCGCCGCTGCCTGAGGGTTATTTTTAGCAGGGATGCGAGGAAGGCACATTTCTCCTTGACTGTCACCAGGGACAACCCTCACCCCCCAGCCAAGTCTCGCCTGGGGAGGCAGGTTCGGAAACCCCCCTCCCAGGAAGGGGAAACTGGTGGGTTTTGTGTTCTTTCAATTCATCAGGCCTCGAAGTCAAGCTAGGGGCTGCTCTGATGGGAAATTCTAGGTTCCAAAGCCCATGGTTTCTCCCGCCATCCCTGGTCTCTGTGTCGCTACAAATTTGAGGAGCAAGAGGTACGTTGTGTGTAAAGGCAGGTCGCCCAGGCTGCGGGTGTTGGGGTCCTGGGGCAGCCGGTGGTTACAGCCAGGCACTATAGATTGCATGCAGTGCCCGGCTTGTGGGGGAGGGGTTCTCACAGATGCTGGCTTGTTAATTCATTAAACTGCCTGTCTGGACTATACATTTTTTTCTGTATATGTGTTTTTTAGAAGCTAATTTTTTTTTTTCACTTTTGAGACAAGGTCTCCTTAAATGGCTTAGAGCTTCATTAATTTGCTGAGACTGGCCTTGAACTTTTGATCCTCCCATCTCAGCCTCCCAAACCTTTGGGATTACAGGCATGGACCATCATGCCTGGCTAGATGCTAGAAGTTTTTATTGAGATATAAGTATACAGGGCTGGGGATGTGGCTCAAGAGGTAGTGCGCTCGCCTGGCATGCGTGCAGCCCGGGTTCGATCCTCAGCACCACATACAAAGATGTTGTGTCCGCGGAGAACTAAA